ATGGCTTCAAAATCCGCGTAAACAAACAGGGGAGGAAGGGCGCCACCATGCCACCTCCCCCCTCCTCTGTTGGTTCGGACTCCTCGTTTTCCACCACGGACTGAATGTAACACTTGTGGTCCTGGATGGGCACCCATTCCTGACACACAGGGCATTTGGCGTGCCCGCACTGGTGGCGTTGGTTGGGAACCACGGTGTACTGGGCCTGGCACTTGAGACAGGTTTTGATCGATTGACATTGCTTGCTGACCACATGATGACGTTTACAATAGCCGCCGTAAAACTTGCAATGACATAAGGGGCTATAATCAGTAGGCCGGGTACTGCGCACATAATCCTGACAATCAAATCGGCCACACGCGCTGCAGCGTCTCCCTTGACAAATGTGATTGGGTCGGTCGTTGGTGTTGAACCCCCGTTCACAGTCCACGCAATAATAGGAGCAGTTGACAAAAGCAGGAAAGGACGTGCAGCCATCAAAATGATCATTGGATTTCAGTAAACGGATCTGATGAGGGGCGGCGGGTCCTTTGAAGATCAGAAAAAACGGTTTATCCGGGTCATCACCAGCAATTGATATTGTGGCCCCAAAGCCTGTTGAAATTGGCGAAGCTCTGGCAAACCACAGGGACCTTCAGCTACTCCCGCTTGCTGATGTAATGCCTGGGCTTGACGTTGCTGCACTGGGTACCCTTTCTTTAAACTATCCCATTGGCGAAGTTCGTCCACGCCTTGATCTTTATGGCAGTGGGCTCCCATGGTGACAATGTGGCGAGCACAGCATAAAGCGTCTCTGTTTTTTATGGTGATGATGCATTTTTTTTTCTTATTGTCTCGATCCAAGCATAGACGTCCCGCATTGCGTTGTTTATGTCGACCGGACCCTGGGCCGGGCATGGTTACAAACACCACATCCACTTGGAAACCGCGATCGGGGTTGAAGGCTTCATTGCTGTTTAATTTACTGGCCAGGGTGGCCAACATCTCATCCAAACGAGTGGTGCGTTGTAAAAATTCCCCCACGGTAAAATTAGTTGTTTGGTAGGCGTGGGTGAAACCATGAGCCGTGATGGAAAAATTAACAAAATGATGGGCGGGTCGCTGCTCTCGGTCGAGTTCAGCCTCGATGGCATGATGCAACGCTTCAGTTAAAGCCATCCCAATATTATCCCCAGCCACAGGATCCCGCAATTGACGCAATTGCGCATTGAATTGCGCCCGCTCCACCACCTCGCGCCAGCGGCGTTGTCGGCAAATAGGTTGCATATGGAATTGAAAGAGAGGACCGCGGGTGGCGGCGGCACCTCCCAACTGTTCCCACCGGTCATAGGCGCGGTCCAACAGAGCATCCTCCTCGTCGTCACTAAAATGATACTAGTGGTCCTCCGCCATGAAGGAGGAAAACAATTTGAATTTCCCGCGCCAGACGCTGGCTTTTATACACTGAAAACCACGTGATGTCACATGAGCATCAGGAGATTGGTGGAACGGACTCAGGTGAGAGTCAGGTGAGGGGTTTGATCGACAGGAGGAAGATCAGGGGTGGTTCCCCCCATGGGTACAGACTCCTTGGGTCTCTGAGCCTGGACCGAGATCTGTGATTGGCGGAGGGAACCCTAGATATAGTCCATCGTCCAGGACCGTTGTCAGTGTTGTTCGAGATGCCCAATACAAATCCCGAGAAGGCGAAACAGCTAAAGCACGAGTGGTACCTCAAAAACAAAGAGAGACTGTTGCAACAGAAGCGTGAACAGCCGGCGGCTCAGAAAAAACTCAAACCACCCCGTCCGCCCAAACCAGCCCCCACATCAGAGCAGATTGCTAGAGCCCGAGAGGCGAACCGGCTGGCTTGCCACCGTTACCGAGCCAAGCATTTGGCCCAAATACGCCACCTCAACCGGGACTATTACCACCGGAACCGCGAACGAATCGTACAGTAGCAGCGGGACCGTCATGCCCGGGTTCAGCAGAACAAACAACACCCGTTCCGAAAGTTACGTGCGTTGGCGGACGTGTGTGCCGCCCGATTACTGGAACTAGATCATGAATACGCTAGGATCGAGCCAGCCCCGGAAAAAGCGGGACCCTGAAAAAGACAAAAAAAATCAAAAACTGTATCAGCAGCGGAAATATGCCGCCTTGAACAGCGTGGAGCACGTGAAGGCCGTTCACCGTCGACGCTACCACGAACGTATGGCCCGTATGAGAGCGAACGGAGAGTACGAGGCCTTCAAGGCCAAAAAGACCCAAGAGGGCATGCGACGCTACCATGCCATGTCGGAGTAGCAGCAGAGTGAGGTCAAACGTAAAAACGCCCAGTGTCAAAGAAATTGGATGCAGAAAATGGAGGAGGGGACCTACGAGGTCTACAAACAACGATTAAATGCGTGGCGGCGAGAGATACAGGTCGAGAAAAAACGAGCTTTGGGCATCGAGGGGTGGAAAGTCCTGCAAAGTCAGAGATATCAGAAGCGTGTAGAATCGATTCGGCGTCGAGAATGGCAATGGTTGGACGAGCAATTGGACCGTCCCTTTCCCCTACCGTGGCTGCCCTTGGACTGGGCCGACTCCGAGCCTGAGGAGGACAGGGCGCAAACCATTCGTGCTGATGCGTTACAACAAATGGACCACTATTTGTAAGAACAAAATGAGTTTATTAAAACAAGTGTATTGTGCAATTAAACAAGGTTGTCTTTTTTATGACTGTGTAAGGGGTTTATATGCCCAATCGGAGTTTGGTTTTCATAATGCGTCTGACAATGCGCTCCGTCAGGGATTTGCGGCCGGGGAGTTGATCAATCTTTGCAATCATCTTACGATCAGCCACCCATTTATCTATCAAATTCTTGGCTTTATCATAGTCCATGTCATGTGCTTTGGCAATCCTGTCCAACCGGTTGATGCCGGGATCCCCACAGGCCAATCATTTTTTCAAATGGGTGCCGGGTCCCATATACTGATAGCCGGGCCAATGAAATTCAATGCCCTTCTTCTTGAGGGGGTTTTGCACATCGAATAACTTGCCTCCACGTTGAGATCGTTGTCGACGTCGGGAGCGGGGCGCAGCACGGGGTCTCTGAGTCCGTCCCATCACGGGGTTTTCCACGTTTTCCAATCCAAGGCTTTCTTGGCCAGACCTGCGGCTTTTTTGCGAATCCCGCACTTGACCGCTTTCTTGATGGAGTGCACACGTTCACTGGGGGTATCCCAAGGCTCCATTCCAGCTTCTTCTGAAAATGGCAACTCGTGCGCCAACTCGGCACTGCTCACCTGGGGCGTGAACTTGAGTTTCTTTTTGGCACTGAGAGTGATGTTCGGTTTGGGCGGGACAGGTGGTTTTCTGGGCCCTCCAGGCGTGGACCCTTGTTTTATACCCTGGGTCGCCTTGACCAATTGCGTAAACCACGCTTGCACGGGGCCCGCCTCAAAATCATCGTCGCCAGGGGTCGTGGCCCCTGTCGCGCTCACACCACCGGTCGGGGCCCTAAACAGTTGGCAAACTTTTTTGGTCCAATGGCATAATTGACGCCTCACTACTTTGAGTTGAGGCCGTTTCCAGGCATCGGGGGCATCGCTGGTCAGGAGCACATGTTGTTTGGCCGCTAAATCGGCGGCTTTGGTCAAGCGGGTATCTTCCACCAATTCTTGTTTGTACTTGTCTCGTAATTGTAAAAAAGCAGGGGTGTTGTCCACCGTGGTGCTCACCATCTCGGGTTCCATGGTGCAACTGAGGTGTCTTGTCTAGCGCATGCAACGTTTATAACATCGGTAGAGTTCAGGCAAGAGGGCGGCACCTTTTTGAGCCATCATGATGGCGCGTCGTCGTTTGACGTAATGGGCGGGTTTGGCCATGGCGCGTAAGCTCTGTGCGTGGGGTTTGAGCAACGTAATGGTGTGTCGGGAACGGGGCACCATGCCATGGAGGGTGTTCATCACCAATTCACTAATAGCATTGATCTGATCCGCATTCGCCATCTGCAACAATTCTTGTCGTTTGTGTTGATTGGCTTCTTGTAAGACACTTTTCAAGAACGGGGCTTAACGTTCCATGGGCCACTCCATGATGAATCTTAAGTTCAGGCAACGACCAAGGTCTATTTATGGTAAAAATGGCTCCACACCTGCCACACAATTCGCCATGATCATGCGTTTGCATGTGATCTCGACACCGTGAACACAGGACCGCTTCATACTGTTCGTCCCAGTCCAAAGGAAACGTGACGGCTTTTCTTTTCTTGGGATAGGTCACTTTAGCGTCGGCACGCCTGCCGTTTCTTCTTCTTGAACACCCAAGGCGAGAGAGCCACTGCCAACATGGGGAGCACGCCTCCGCGTTGCAATCCACGTCGACGGCGTTGTATTCAGGGGACATAACGATGTCGGTGTCCATTGGGTCCACGGACCATCTTTCAACTAACCCCTGTTCAGGCTCACGAAGGTCTTTTTATACGTTTTCACATGATAGAACAATTAAAGGATTCCCCCGCATAGCGTTTCGGTTTGCCACGTGCATAGGATTCGTCCGGTTGCTGTCGGCGTTTGGCGGATATTTTCAAAGCTCGCTTTGGTTGATGCTCCCCCAAGGCTTTGGTGATCCCGTAGGCGGCTTTGCTAATCCCCACAATGAGACCCGGCGAGACACCCCCTACTTGACTATGGGTCATACGCCGTGGTCGTTTGGTGGGTGGTCGACGTCGAGTCGTGGTGCGTTTGCGTTTGCGCCTAGGGGCCATTGCGTTTCGACAACGGCCACACATGGTACTAGGATGGTGGGAGGAAGGACGCTGTTTTTATCTTTTTTTTTTTGTTCACGGGCGTCGACCCCGTCCGCGTGCTCGGCCACGGCCGCGGCGCCTTCCTCGGCGTGGTGACGGTGGACTTGGGCTGGACGTTCGGGTGGACGTGCGGCGCACAGAAGGTCGCCCTCCCCCATCTTCGTAGACCGTGGTGACTGTATTGGTGTGCGTGATGTTGCGAATACGTCTGCCCCGAGCACGTTGTTAAGCATCTTCATTCAGCAAATCCAACCGTCGCCTTAATCCCCGTCGTCGATCCTCGTCGTCATCCTCGTCATCGTCCTCCGACGGAGGAGGGGACGAATCAGGTGACAGAGGGGAGGGCACCCGGGGACGTCGTCGCGGTTGTTTGGCGGCGATGGTGAATCGTCCAGTGGGAATCGTCACCGTGGAGGTGGTGGTCCTGGTCCCTGCCCCAGCGCTGCGGCGAGCGGTGGTGGTCGTGGCGGTGGTGACGGGGTGTGTTCGGGTGGAGGTGACAAGTCGCGGTCGGCCGGTCGTGGGGCGTGTTCGGGTCGACGTGACAGGTCGTGTTTGGGTGGCCGTGGTGAGGGGTTGGGTGGTGGCGGGGGCGGAGCCAGTGCCTGCCACGGGCGGTGATGTAAATGCATTCAAGGCATCGTCCACATTGACCGGGTAGGTCAAATGGAAAGTCTCAATCTCTTGATCCAATTGGGCACGATCCACCGGTCGAGTCAATGTCCGTCATGTCCGTCATGCTGCTGAGATCCTGGAGGGGAGGGGGCGCCGTGGGGGAGCCCACGCCAGCGGGCGAGAGGGTTGGAGTGTCCATGCGGGCCGCTAAGTCAGTATGTTTTCCGCCTTCTCTTTGCCGGCGGACCCTTGCGAGTTCTCGTTGCAGCGCGTTGTCGAACGGCCATCCACTGGCAGGGTGTGGATTTGCGCCTTGCCTTCTCGGGGCGTTAAATGACTCCACAGGTGGTAGCGATCATCCGACGCAGGATGCATATCCAACATCAAATAGCCAAAGGGGCGGGACGTGATGCTTTTAAATAGGCGCAAGACTTGATGCCACCGGTTGGGAAAGGCTTGAAGGAAAATGGTCCATATGCCCGTTTGATCCCGGGTGTTTTTGAACGCCATGATATAATGCGCGTTGCGATTGATGGTCTTGGAAAATTTGCCAGGCGGGAATAAATCTTGCGTCAAATACAGCACAGTGATGTTGCGATGATGAGAATCTTTGGTGAACAAATCCAACACGCGTTTGTCTTGTCCCCCTTCTTCCATCAGATCATCAAAGACCAACACGCCTCCGCGCGTCCGGTAACCAGCGATGAAACTGAATCCCATCCTTTTTTTGCATACGGTCAAATCGGGGTCGCCATCGGTCGTACGCATAGTCGATCTTGTTGGGTTTGACTTGAAAAACGTTGAGGTACAGTAACCATTGTTCCACCAACTCGCTCTTGCCACTGCCCGACGGGCCATCGATGATCACACTACTGGGTTGTCGGATCATGATTCCCACGGTCGAGGGTGACGTCGATAATGACCCGTGACCCCTTTGGCGCCCATGCATTTATACCGTTTGCTGCGTCCCAATTTATAACCAATTTTGGCCGATTTGGCCAACACACTCATCATGCCCCGCCCGTTTTGGCAAAAGCGGGGTCGTCTGGAAGAGGCACGTCGTCGTCTGCTACTGGGCATGCCGTCCAATATTCGTGGTATAATCGTGGCGATTCGGACTGAATCAGACCTTCCATGGTCTCTCTTAAATACGTTTCACCCATTGTGTCCATGTAGTGTTTGAGGAAGACCCAGTCTTGGTCTTGCGCCAATTGTCAGGCCACTAACCAATGATACCCATCCCACGCATCGATGCCTTGGACTGTGTTGACCTGTTCGATCGGGTGTACCCACCAATACAAGGTTTCTTCTAAGAGGAACGCATCCACCACGCGCTGCACATCGCCTCGAGCAATCATGATGATACAAATGACCTCTCATTCACAGAACGTGTCGTTTTTATGATTTTTTATTGGACCTAATGATCACATTGATGGCAAAGCATAAAGGCCTGGCGGCTCACATTCTTTTGCCCGTCGGGTTGGACATCAAGTTCATCTTGTAATTCCTGTTTGATTACACGTTTCAACTGTTCGGCCACTTTATGATCATTCAACACTAAATTGTCGCAACTCCATGGACTCAAAAATTCTTGATACGACTGTCCTTGCGCTCGGGCTTTCAAGAAAAATAAAGCATAATGGCCACAGCTCTGACTATCCATGGCTTGCAGGGTCATGTCACTGGGAGTCAGGTACTTCCATTGACCCCACCACTGGTGCAACTCCGGGTTGGTGTACACGTGCGGGGTAGACCATAACTGTCAAAGACCTCGCACTTGTTCTGTTCCGTCCACAAGCCCAACCAATGCTGTCCCCGTTCTCCCGCAGCATCGGTGTTGACAATGTACGCTTGACGGACACTCCTGGGGGGTGATCAGGGTAGCTGGTCGGCAAGGTACACCCCGTGAAACACGCGCCGTAATTCAGGATCCTCCAGGGCCAAGGTCCGTAACGCACTATCACTGAGTGCCACAAACTCCATGGCCGGTGTCTTCTGACTTCTGAGGCTACATCAGCCGTTGATGTTGTACTTTATACCTCCCAGATGATTGATCTCATACATGTTTTCATACTCGCTCCATACCAACACGGTGATGTTGTGATTGACCGCGGCAGCAAAATCGATGATCAGTCGCACATTGCCCGATTGAGGGGGGTTGCGATACTGGGGGTCATCTGCTTTCCCACTGGGCAAATTGTTGAACATGAACAACGTGCAGTTCTTGCCTTTTCCCTAATCACCAGGCAGCATCATAGGAATCTTATCTTCATTGTAGGCACCCATGGCTTGTAGAAATCGATCGTAGCCCAGTAGATCTTCATAGGCTTCTCCTCCAGTCAGTTGCAGGGTTCTGTACGGGTATTCTTCTCCATTCAAGGTCTGACGTATTTGGGTGACGCCAAACTTTTCAAAGGCAAAGGGGTATCTGTGTAGGTCTCCATTGAAGGTATTGGAATGCAATAACCCGACAATCACTCTGTCAGGAAATCGACCCACAAACACATTGTCTTGTTCCCACTGGGTGGTTCATCCATCGAAGGAAAACGTGCGAATTTCGCTCCGCACCACTGGGTAGCGGGCAATCTGTTTGCCCAGCTGTCTTTCTTTCTGCAGTCTGACATAGACGCTGGCATTCAGGGTCACTTTTCTCATCAACAAGGTGACTTTGATGTCTTCACTGTGGATGGCTGGAAATTTCTTGTCAGTCAAGGTCCCTTTGTTAGGGGTGCCCATCAAGTAGCCGGTGTTGGGGTTGAGGAATAGTTCAAAGTCCATCTGGACATTGGGGACCAACAATTTGCCTGTCTTGAGGGGTGGCAAATGGGGACGAATGATGAAGGTGTGCCAATTCTCGTCTAGCAACCGGCTGGTCAAGGCTCGCAAGTCTGTATTCCCACTCCAATTCGCATTGGTGGGCACACCAGGATTGGCTCCTGTGGCTCCCATTTCTTCAATCACATTGAGCTGATTGACCCATCCTTGAGGGGCTAGCTTGGTGGCTCCTTCGTCTCGGCTGTAATTCAGGAGGGTTTCTAGGTAGGCTCTGTAAAGGTAGGTGTTGCTCTGTTTAGTCATGAGGACCCCATTCATGCTCAGGGTTATATCTCGAAAGATGGTGTGACCGAAATTGTTGATGCAGTAGGTGTTTCTGGTATTGTTGGCATCGGAGTTGGCCAAATTGGCTTTCAATCCTGCATACCCAGCCGCTGGATCCGTCAGGCGCACTTTGACTTTGAATCGGAGGGAATTGGGATCGTAATAATCATCTGAGCCTGGAATGGAGAAGGTGATGGGCTGGATACCCGTCAAGCGGGTTGAAACTCCACCTCCCGAGAGGTTTCGTACCGATAATCCACATCGGGCACGTCAAACAGTTGGAGCGACATGATGCGGAGTGTCGACGATGGTTCAACATCGTCCCCATTTTATACCCTTTCGCCTACGTTGCCTCCTGGCTTTTGCTTGGTTGGCCCACAAAACCTTCCCGGGATCCCCCATGCCAAAAATCGTGCCCCCTTTCATACGTTGCCGGATCCAGCGTGTCATTCTGGCTTTTTCTTGGTCTGCCGCGAGGACCTTCATGGGATCCCCCATGCGCATGTGAGTGGACGTGCCAAAAATCATACCCCCTTTCATCTTGCGACGTTAGCGTTGATCCAACCGCCAGGGCTCCAACAGGTGGGAGGACGTGTACATCAGGGGATAGCGCGCCATGGTCGACTTGCCAAAAATCGTGCCCCCTACTTGATACGGCGAGATGAAACGTCCATGGGCGCGTTGCTGTCGAATACGATTTTGCGTTTTGAGAAAGCCCCCTACACGTACCATCTTGTGCAAAGATGTCCCGTACGCGTTGCGTGGCTCTTTTATAGGTATTTTGGGCGGTCTGTTTGGCCTTGTTTTTGCCGATCGTCCAGGCCATGGCGGGGCCTTTGCGTTTCAATCCACGGCTGAGTTGTGCACTTCGATCGGCCCACGTGTCCGCCGCACTCTTTCCTCGTTGAATATCTTGCAGTCCCGCTTGCGCTTGCTGCACGATCAGGGGTTCCGCCAGTTTGATCAAATCTTCGGCCAAACCCTTGCCCTCTTGCTGGGTGACCAGGGGCGTCTGGTACCGCGTTAAACTTCCTCCGCGCATTGTCGGTTTGCCTCGAGGTGCTTTTTGACCCTCCAGAACACGTGGGGTGGCTTTTTATAGCTGTTTGAGACCGATGGTCACCAGGGTTTTGCCAGGGGGTAAGGTGGCCAGGGGTCCACTGGTACTCGCAATCTCCACTTCCAAGATCTCTAGTTGATTTCCTCGCACTCTGATCCATTGGTGGTGCAGGGGTTCTGCCGTACTTTCACCATCGCCGGTTGTCAACAATTGCACTTTCCGCAACAGGGGAAACTTGCCACTTCCCACCACGGTGGATTCGACTAGATCCGAATAGACCATGACAGTGCGTTTGCGGGTCACCACCACTTTTTCAAACGAGGCATCTAGGTTATTCAACTGCCATTCCACCATCAAGGACAATTGCAAAAACTTCACACCACCATGGGTCACCACTTGCAGGGGATCATTGACAATACTGCCTGTATTGCCAAACAGTAAGGTGGGATTGACGCCCATGTACTGCTCGCCCTCCCAGTTGTATGCCGTGCGAAACTGACTGCCGGTGGGTTGGGTGGTCGAATCGTATGTCTTGGTGGGCAGCGTGTATTGCATATTGGGCCCCAATGGATACCAGGTCCTGTTTTGACTAGTCTTTTCAACCACCAATCCACACTTGAGCGCAATGTCCAGGTTGATGAAAAGGTCACTGATAGCGCTCTTGTCCTCTTTAAGCAAATCCATTTGGAAAATGGCATGAATCACCAAGGCATCCTCTTTCCATGACAGTCGGGGCATGGCGTTTTGTTTGGCGGTGACAATAGGTCTTTCGTCGGGCTCCTTGACCAAACGCTGCATTTGTTCATTCATCACATTGTGCATGATTTTATTGTGCACTTCTTGCATCACTCGGTTCCAAAACTGACTCCCCGTCACCACGATTTGATTCGCATTCATGATCTCTTCCAATTCCAATGCGCAGTCCACGGTTTTGATTTCCATCCGTCAATAGGTGCCCAACTGAAACTTGCGGACCACATCGACATTTTGAATTTCATCACTTTGGTATGAGGATCCGTGGCAATGACGGCATTGCTCTGTCCTTGGTCCGGAACGGTCAGGGACATCAACGAGGCATGCCAACTCTTGCCTGGTAAGGAGAGGCGTTCGGGCAGTCGGACCTTGAAACTGTTGTTGGCATTTTTAGGAAACTCGTCGGTCGGATCGCTGATGAGCGTCAAGCGTTTAATCTCACCCATGATGATGAACAAGAGGCGCGTCCGAGAGGGTGCAGGGTCCTTTTATAGCCACTGGTCCACCTTCTGTTTACTGCGAGGGACGCGTCCCACCAACGAATTGAAGGTCGATTGTTTGGGATGAAAACACATTTGCTGGGAAATGTTGGGAAAGGCCCGTGACAGTTCCATCTGGGTCACGCAGGTCTTTTGTTTGGGGGGTTTCTTCTTGCGCATGGGTGGATGACGACCCGCGCGTCGGCGTTGTTTGGCTGTTTTCTTGGGTGGGGAATGCAGGGCACCCCGTTTCTTGGCATACTCTTCAGCTCGATGGTAGGCATTGGCATACGCACATTGCTGCTTAGTGGGGCTGGCCAACTTTTCCCACCACTGCAAGGGTCGGGCTTGCCGTTGTTCGGCCACTTTCTTCTGGATGAATTTCATAATGTCCGCGTCACTGGTGGGTGGTGGGGTCTAACTTGCCCGCAATCGGCTGGAATCTGCCTGGACCTCATCCAGAAACC